GACAATCAACTCTCTCGTGGGAGCGGACACTGGGGAACTGAGAAAAAATGCGTTAGTTGAATTGTTTCTTACGAGAATCATTTAAGCGAACACCAGTCTGTTTACGAGAGAATGTCCGCTTACGTTAATTTGTAAATTGAGAGTTTGACTGAGAGGCAAAAAGGGAATTGAAAAATGCTTCCGTAATTAGAACTGTCCTCCTACGAGAGTGCAATTAGTGGAAAGTTGAGTGTAGTCTGTACATATATACTCCATGATTGCTGCTGATGAAACTGCGGTCGTCCATCATTATAAATAGAAAAATTTAGTTACAAATAATTTCTTCACTGCAACCTGATAGGTATCCATATTTCATATCTTAGGAGCAGAATGTTTAGCTAATTGAAAACATACTTAGAATAAATAGGTTACTCATTGGAACTTTAAAACGCAATTATGGATAAATTTTTTTTATGCATGACTTTTTATGGCAGCGATAAAACTTACATGGCTTCTGAAGCTAGCTTCTCGCTTCAATTAATTACCTAATACTCAGCTCTAACAAATCTAAAATAATGCTTGTGGGTACCCATTAAAGGCTTGCCTCTCAGTCGTTCTCCATATCATCTAACGGCCGAGACTTGGAGAGATTAGAAAAGTTGAAATATCTAGGGGTTTACAATACAATACAATACAATATTTATTTTGCCATATACGACATTTACAGATGGAAAAAAAAAATGAAGAAAATTGATGACAGAGAATAAATGGCGAGAAAACCTGAAAGAAACCACGAGGCTTATAACAAGTCAGGCTTTCTCACTTAAAATAACTAATCTTATATTAGAATTACAATATGGACTTATGGTAATTAACTTTGACCGCGCACACGTACACACACACACACGCACACACATATTAAGTAAGTTAGTTAAGAATTACTGCCTTACAGAAGTTAATACCTAGAGAGAAGAAATTCCTTAAGCTTTCTTTTAAAAGAAGCGGAGGAGGGAGAACTAGTTATGTCAGAATTTAACGAATTATAAAAGTTTGGACCTTGAAAGTAAATTGAAAACTTCCTGGTGTTCGTTCTGCATAGTGGCAAGCGGAAGGACTGAGCATTCCTAGTATTATAATTGTGGATCTGACTATTCAGTTAAAAAAAGTTATTGAATTTGGAAGGGAGTGTAGAGTTCACGAATGAAAACATAAAAGTACCTAATTGAAACGAATGGATATCATGAAATTTTAAGAGTTTAAGTTCCCTAAAAATAGGGCCAGTATGGGCAATGTATGTAGAATTGCTTACTATTCTTAACGCACGTTTCTGTAAGGTTACAATTCTTTGAAGGTTTGACTTATAGGTACCAGCCCAAGCTAAATTGCAATAATACAAATATGGAAGGATCATAGAATTGTATAAAGTACAAAGGGAGTGAGTAGAAAGAAAAAACCTAGATTTATGAATAATACCTATAGATTTGGATAATTTATTTGCTGTTAAGGATATATGCGATTTCCAGGTCAAATTGTCATCTAATAAAACACCCAAAAACATGGTCTCAGAAACACGAAGAATAGGCTGCTCATTTATGAAAACTTGAAATTCAAAGGATTGCTTCTTTTGCCAAGGCTTGAATACCATAAAATTAGTCTTGGCTAAATTCAAGGAGAGCCGGTTTGCTGCAAACCAGGTTGACAATTTGTTTAATTCTCTATTCAATGTGTTAATTAGGTAAACAGGATCATTATGGGAGATAAATAAGTTTGTATCATCAGCAAACAAGATTGCATCAAGCAGGGAAGCATTGTTCAAATCATTAACATACAGGATAAAAAATAAGGGACCAAGAATAGAACCTTGAGGCACCCCACAGGGAATCCCCTGTGGGGCAGATCTAACGTTATTAAATTCGACAAATTGTGTCCTCTCAGAAAAATAACTTTTGACCCATTCTAGTGCCAGACCACGGATCCCATAATGATTGAGTATGTCAAAAAGAATGTCGTGATTTACCGTATCGAACGCTTTCGAAAGATCTAGGAATACTCCAGTGGCATGTTCTTTTCTATCAAATGCAGAAGGAATTTTGTCACACAAATCAATAAGCGCAAGGCTAGGAGAGCGATTTTTTCTAAAGCCATATTCATTATCACATGAGACATCGGAGTCATTGAGATAATTTATAATACGGTTGTAAATTATTCGTTCCAAAAACTTTGAAAAGCACGGTAGAACAGAAATAGGTCTGTAGTTGCTGAAGAGAGCTTTGTCACCTGATTTAAAAATAGGTATGACACGAGCAATTTTCAATTCATCCTGAACGATACCATGAGTAATGGAGAGATTTACAATGTGTGTTAATGGAGAGGAAACGCTGCATATAGATCGCTATGCTAAATGTGATGTCCCTGTTTAAATATTGTTTAAATAAATAAATAAAAGCTTACTTTTGAGTCTGTTTGGCTTTCTCCAGGAGCACATATGTGGTGCATTGAGTCCCAATCTTTCTTTTGCTTTCCATAACTTTCAACAATCCGCGATGAAAATAAATAGCAAAGACTTGTAAGGAAGGAGTCAACCCGCTTCTAGCAGATCTTGTTCGAACGACAAGGAACATTAACCTCCGTCGCCTTCTTTCCATATGAGGAGTGTCTGCTTCAGTAATCGTAGACAAATTCAGTAGCTCTGTTCCAACTAGAACCGGCTTTATCCCACTTCTGATCACCTGCAACAAAATGGAAGAAAGCTACAACTGTGAAAATTAGAAATACATTTTAATCCGTCTCAGTTGTACCTATGGATTTTCATGAAATGTTGAAGACAACGATGATAGTCAAGATTAACGATGTTTCACATTCAAATACGTCTACTATGTTGTGGACGAAACCTGAACGATTTTATTCAAAAATTAGATGTAGGTAGTAATGTTTCTAGTGATATCGAAATATAGGTAACGTTGTTCGAGAATATGAATACGTATTAGGTAACAAAGATTTAAAGTCATTGTGGGAACTTTCTACTCATCATGTCTAACACTTGTTTTCTATTCCTTCGCTATGAAATTCAATCATGCTGCTACTTTCTAATAACTAAGAATGTAGTTTCTTTTACCATTTTGAAACCTCGGGGTCCAGTGTTTTACGTCTGAGTCTTTCTCCTCTCGTTTCGATCACTCTAACAAACGATTCACACCAGCCCAAGTTTGTTTGAAGTTGTTAGCTGCTAACATCTCGGTAAAGAGAGGATCCGATGTGTGATCAGTTCGCACGAGTTTAACCATAACAGGTTTGACAAAACTCGTCGAAGTCTCATCAAGGCTGTCAAAAACTACACAATTTTTTTTACTCTCTTCCAAGAGCAATGACTAAGGCCACCAGATGCAATAGTAGCATGAATAATTTCATACAGTAAACGGTCACCGTTGAAAAGTAAAAAATGAACAATTTGGGTGAGCTGCGCATGACAGTAAAAAAGGTTGCTGGAATTCAAGTAGTTTACATTCAAAGGCGCAAAACATTCGCATACATCAATGAAAGCTCATTATTTCGAATTCAACCTCTGCAACACCTTTTTGCTCGTCTTTTACATTTGCATATGAGATGAAATTTTTCTCCGCTTTACTCTGCGTGGCACGTTTTTTTTTTTTTTAGCAACGAAAGCCTCATTTGAATGTTGTCGACCGTTTGAGGTCTAGGATTTAGGAAAGTATCCCGCTTGCCGCAAACAGCGGTATAATGCTTTTTTTTGGGGGGGGGGGGGGGGGGGGATGGGGTCTTCTTGATGTAATCCTCCTAGCTAATCCTAGTTGCTTTTGGGGAAAATAATGAAAAGTGAGTTAAAAAAACAAAAACAAAAACAAAAACAAAAGCAAAGAATAGGACGCAAAAAAAACTCTCCTAAATGGATATTAATATTCTTCCTACTGTTCTCTTTACATCTCCGCTGGTACAGACGAGGAGAATTTGTCTGACAATCATGATCTGCAGAAAATTAATAATCATTTTCTTTTATTCTCGTAACCTTTACATTTGATTAAAGGGTGACACTGCAATGAGAAATTAGAATCCAGTCACTCTTATGGCTTAAAGGATAAGGATTGAAATAGTGATGTGGCAAACTAGACTTAGCTGTTTCGATTCTGCCAAATATAAAAAGTAAAGAAAGCAATTTTGCTTCAATATCGAAGTTTCCCGATTCGGAATTCTGATGAATCTTAACGAAAAAATTAACCATGCATGAACCCCCATGAGACGCTGGGTTTGAGCAAAGATTTGGTTTGCATTTAATAGTGCCAAAAAAATTCAGTAGTAATCGAGTGCAATGGAAACAGTATATGCTAAATGATAAGGGACCAGTCTTTATTTATGGCTTGAGGAGCGGGGGGAAGGGGGGGTGGAAGAAGATCGGCGTAGGATTTTAGGGGGTTCACATGGTTTTCAGGGGAAACGAAGAGGCGGATCAGTCATTGCTAACAGAGTAGAATCGGAGGACTAGAGAAAACTTGCTGCTAACTAACTGCCATTGAAGGGGGACCATAAGAATGTTGCAGAACCTTATGAGGGACCAGGTAAATTTTTAATCGTGACACAAGCAAATCCCCCGACTTCCCCCCCCCCCCTTACTCCCCCCAATTATACCTCTCCGAGCGCAGATTAACACTATACTCGCAACAAAGCTTAAGCATGTTTAAAGGCTGTTTTGTTGAGGACAGTTTAAAAGTTTCTTCCTCATAGCAGCTGCCTAAAATCGATGTTTTTCGACTTCTGTTGCGCATTGATCATACAAATTAGTGGTAATTTGAATATTATTGAAAATTAAGTTTTTCATTTCTCCGTTCCTGATTTTCATTCAGTTGAGCCCGATTCAACTGAACATGTTTTGCTGAAAAACGGAAATAATATAAAATAAATGAATAATAACTAAACCTGTTTGATACAAACGAAAACTAAAAAGACAAAAATAGGAACTCTTATTTATTTCGTGCGTGGTTGATAACCACAAGAAATTACAGTTGAAGATTTGGCACTAGACTACGAGCAGTATCTTCTTTCCGGCGAAATCTGTCGCAAGACTCCTTCCTTTTCGTGCGCCTCACTCTAAGAGTTCCGAGCGGCGCACTAACATCAATTTTATTTTTTCGGTGACTTTTTGTCACTCGCGCAACGGATTTCGTCGAAAAAAAAAGGACTGCTCGTAGTCTTGTCACCTGTACTTGAAGGCAATAACGTATCTTATAGTATATTACCTACGACAACTGTAGCGCTACTCATGGAGAGAGAGTTTTCAGTAACAATCTAACTTAATTCACCGTCAAAATGTTGAAGAAAATACCACAACAATACTAAAAAAAAACACGCCAGTGTTCCAGACTGCCATTATTTTGTTCGTCATATCAAGTAGAAAAAGAAAAACATTTGGTGACCCGTGCCTTAATGTTCATGGTCAAGAGTTCAAGTGATAAAGACATTTGTCGTAGGTCTTTTACAGTATTGCACAAAAAGTCCTTCTTTCCCTTATCTAGCGACCAAAATTTTATTTCTGGCGAAAATTTTCTCAAATGTATCAATTAAATATTTGTTTACTTTATTCATTATTCACTGATCCACAGGTTTCTGTTCGGAAAGGCAAGTAAAAAAATGCTTGGTTCCAGTGATTGCTGGAGTTAGGTTATGAAGTTAAATTTTCTTTGTCTTCCATTCAAGAGACTCCTCAAGATTCTTGAACCAGCTTCGCAAAGACTGATCAATCCTGAGAACCACAAGATAACTGAAGCACAAAACCATCGTGGTTAAAAGGAACGAGACACCTTCAAACACAAATCGAGGCGCAAAAATCTTCCACACCATAAGATGACGGCGGTGGACCGCAGCAGAACAACAAGTAGCCAGGAGCTGTAAATAAATAAATAAATAAATAAATAAATAAATAAATCAGAAAATAAATAGACAGTAAATAAATCAGTTCATAGATAAGGAGATGAAAATTAACCCTTTGAACCGTAAGAGTGACTAGCATCTAATTTCGCCACTGATTACACTTAATAATAAATAAAGCTCTTGATTGTTTAAGAAATTCTCTTTGTGCGTACTGACGATAGGGTGTTTAGGGTCACACTGGTAAAAATTACAAATCTACGAACCCCAGATTTTTTAATTTCGTGACGCTGTTCTTTACGCCTAAAAATACAACCCTTTTGCTAAACCCTACAGTTAAACGTATGACTGAGTTCATTTTTATATCTTCACTTTTCTCAGTGTTGTTGCTTCAGAGTCAAATATCAAGTAGTTTCATTTTCTTTTTATTTTCTCACCATAAAAAGTCTTATTTACAAGAACATAAATACAATAAGCTGTAATTGTTGCAGTTCGTTTAACCGTTGGTATCAGGTATGCTCAGTACCTGAGCAACTAAGCACTTACCCCTCCCTAAGCCAACATTAAACCCCTAACTTGTTATCAGTCGACTGTTGTTGGGTCAAGGGAGGGTAGGTGTGCAGTTGCTGAGATACTGACACTGCTCCAACCGTTCGATCAAACTGGCGAAAAACTGTGCAACAAAAGTTTTGAGTTCTAAGTTAAAACTAACCTTGAGGCCGTGGAGAGTCTGGTAAGTGACTAAGAGCCGAAACATCCGAGTTCTTAACAGTTCAGGACTTTCAATCCAATCAAACTCTCCTTTGCTTGGTTGAGGGCTATTTTTGCTGCGAGTTCCTAGGAGCCTGTTTTGTATTTGAGGCCAAAAGAGAAGGAGTGGAAGACCCAAGGCGAAAAGGACTGGACCAGAGAAAGTATTCAGCAGTATAAGGAGACCTACAATAAGAATAGAAAGAAGTTATCCATAAAAGAGAGGAAAATGCACAAACACAGCAAACAATACTGTGGCCCAAAATAACAGCATCATTGATTCGTCTCATTTTACACGTCGGCACTAAAATTTTCGTAAAACTTTGCGATTGGGACACGCTAAAGTGGGCCTTGCCGTCAAGAAGAGGCAGTCGTTGTGCAGAAGTTAAAACGTACGAACCGTCGGCCGTGAAAAAAACAAACAAACAGAAGACAAGAAACGGCTCCGTTGTAGGGAAGCGGCGGTTAATACAGGTTTCATTTTGCTTTACGCGAGAAAGAGACGATTTCAATCACCTTTAGTTCACTAATTTTTCTGGCGCCGAATGAAATCAAAATGAGCAAGTTTTGAGGTTTATGCTTCACCTGGTATCACAATATTTCCCATGTCTCCTGGGAAGCCAACAAAAGCAGCTTCAAAGCGGATGGACGGAATGGTGGCCTGGTGACCAGTGCAATAGAAGTAATATGACGACATGAAATACCACAGTACTACCACGCTGAATGAGGTGTCTACAAATAGAGAAATTTGTGAGAACTAGTTGATCAGACCGTTCTCTCCGTAAATGAAACCGGTCAGTTTTCAGAACTCGTAGAAGTTGTTCTCACCGAGTTTACCCTGTCTTTTGAGCAAGGCTAGTCTACGTTCCCTACGTTTAGTCCCTCAGTGGGACTAAAAGACTTATCGCGAACTGCACAGGGGTGCTGGGGAAATAATAATCAGCTATTCTTCAAAGATTGAAGACACACGAGGTAGAATACTGCTCAAAAGTAAGTTGACAGTCTCGACTCGCTCTTCCTTGATTCCCAACTTCTCGTGTCACGAACCGAGTTTCGAGGGTCTCGATACTCAACTCGAATGTCTTGAAACTCGACTCGAGCCTCGATACTCGATAACTTCGAGGATTGAGGGACTGTCAACTTACTTTTGAGCGGTACTGTAGAACGACTCACGAGTCCTAGTTTTAGTTAAAGCGAGTTGACGTTCGCTTTCCGTTTACATCAACAAGGCTCAGTTCTCTCTTTCATTTTGGCTAGACCTAGAAAGTGGAAAGTGGCCGATAGCGGTTGTCAGTCGTTGTTGATTACATCAATTACTTCACTGTTTTGATGGGTTTATAAGAGTGCGAGTTTTAGCAGAGTTAAATAGTCCGCATTTGTCTACTGCTCCCTCTAAATTCAATAAACTCACAGCAAACATTTGCTAACAGCAGAACAACTTTGCTTATAACATGCCCAAAAATTGTATGTACACTCCATAGCACTTACCGGAGTTTCCACGAGCACTATCGCCAGGTTCTGCATCATGGCTCAATCCGTGAATCTCCAACAGCAAAAAGATGTGGAAAAAGATCAGAGAAATAGACAAAGCCATTCCGTTGCCCAACAACATCATTAAAGGCAATCCAACGGAAACAAATAGAACCAGTATTGCCGACGAAAAAACGGTTCCAAGACCATACACCATGGGCGTGTTTGTATCGTCCTCACACTCTTCTCCCGCCAAGACTTTCTTTCCATCCAATCTCTTCCAATTCTGTCTCACTTCACGGACCAGAGCATGGATAATTCTGGAATTATCACCAGTCTCTTGCAAGGATTTCACTCCTTCGTCGAAAGAGTTCCTTCCGTTTTTAAAGACAGTGTAGATATATAGGGGTGAGTACAAAACGCATGCAATTGTTGCCATACACATAGAGTAGACAATCTGCGGAAAGATTATTTGTTGCCACACCTGCATCTCTGGAAAGACAGTGGCCATCTTCTGTGGAACGATCTGCAGCATCCAGTGAGCGCACATGAAGATGAAAGCCAAGGGAACAGTATACCTCACACTTAGAACAATAAACGTTGTGCCATTTAAATTTCCATGATAACGAAGCCACTGGCGAAGTGAAAAAGGAATTATACCAGTGCATAAAACGGTCAAAATAAATCGATTGCTTTCCAAGTTGGTCTTGTCCGCGGAGGTCGACTGAGGTTTAAGGAAATCTGTTGGCACACAAGACCACTGCTCCTCTCGACAAGCTCGTAACATTATGGCAGTTCTGTTGACAATATCAAATGCTATCCACGCTATAAACAATCTGAGGAAGAATCCAGATATATCGCTTTTTTTGTCCTTTTTGGAAAATCTCCTAAAATGATGTCTTAGAACGAGATTCCTGTTATTGATGGGATAAACTTTCCATATGGCTTGAACACATTTCACTCCAATTAAAGACTGAATGAAAAAGGCAATCAGCTTGTCCTCGTTCACCACAAAACTGTTTGACAATGAAGCCCAGCACTGAAGTAAACATAACACTGCGGCAAAAATGTTGTCTAATGACAATTTTTTTAAAAAACCACTCGCTGTTACTTGGGTGTATTTCAGAACCATCTTTTGAAGAAAAACAAATATTGCCAACAGCAGTGCGCATGCTATATATAGTGGTATTACGATAATGACATTAAAGTCACAGGATGTCGCTGCAGATGCAATAATGAAGCCTATCAGCGGGACTAAAACCAGCAGAGACAATCGGTTTTCACTGAAATTAAGAAGGGCTAAAACAACTAAAGCGACAGCCACAAAAATCACAGAGATACCCGCAAATATAGAGTTCAGATCAAACTTCGCCCACATCGACCGACAGAGAACTTTCGCACCAGACAAATAGTCACTATGAAATTTTTCGGCAGAAGATAATATAACACTGAGATGCTTTAGTTCTTCTCCAGAGGCTTTTCTGAGCATTTTCCCATGTCCCTCAAGGCTGTCAACCAAATCTTTAGCTTCAGAGACCAGTGCAGTTGCATTTTGTAAAATCTTCCCAAGTTCCTCTAACTTGCCTCTAGGAATATCTCCCGAGATCGAGGCATACTTTGTGAGATACTTGTGGACTTGCTTGGCATTCAGTTCAAAAGCTGTGTTTCTTTGAAGCAATTCCAGCACTTGCTGTGCAATTATATCATTTTCACTGTTTGCTTGGTGAGAGTGATTTTCCGAGGTACTTCCATGGCAGAAAAACTCAGGTATAATAGTACCCAGGTTTCCAAATGGAATGGGTATGCCTAACAGCAGGGAGAGAGTAGGGACCAAGTCTATCTGGGAAACAGTTGCAGTTTTCTCCTGTGTTGGACAAAATTACAAATTACAAAATTATTTCATGTATACTCATGTGTACAGAAGAAAATTGGAATCCACAACACAAATGGCATTAAGAATAAAATGTTAGTTTGATGCAGGAAACCTTACAACATGGGAACATTTCAGAGAGGTTTTTAGCCCAGACAAACTGTCAAAAGGGCCACAGAGAGAAAAAGTATGCAATACCAATGACATTGAAAACTTCTTAACACTGAATTCAATAAATATGAAATGCCAGTTTAAGTTAGCTCTTTTTAACCCCTAAGAATGACTAGCATTTAATTTCTCCTTACAATATCACCCCTGAATCAAACATTAAGGCCACAAGAATAAATAAAAGAAATGGTTATAACCTAAAGAAGTTCTTGATTTTTAAACAAACTCTTCTTGTCAGCACCTTTGGAAATGTATAAAGAACAGTATAGGGAATATGCATACTGATGTTAGGGTAAAATGTGTTAAAGAAATCAAACAAAATCTTCCACTGCCTATGCTATTTAACAATTGGTTCATACGTCAGCGTGCGTTCATCAAGATATGAAGCACGCGGGAAGTTTGGAGAGCACGAAAGATGCGTAAGAGTTGCTCGAGGCATAGCCTTGAGCAACTCTAGCTTCTTGAGTGCTCTCCAAACTTCCCAAGTGCTTCATATCTCGATGAACGCACAGCTGACGGATGAACCAATTGTTTTATAAATTTTCAACCCAATGGAAAATTTTTTTTCTAGAGGGATTTGTTTGCTGACATCATGAGCGTGCACAATAGGAATATGAAGCATGCTCGCACAATTAAATTTGATTAGACAAATTTACTAGCTATGTTATATTTTTGATTAAAGAAAAAAAACAAATAAGAGTTTACTAAAAAGTGACTAATGAGATTGTACAAAAGGTACTTGGATTTCAATAAGACTATAGTGAAAACAAAATTGAGAATGATTTATTTACATGCATTATGGACTGTATCATCCCTTTTCTTACCTTTTTCATGTTACATGTCAATATAGGTTTGGTTGAATAAACAAAAAGGGCTGCATCCACCTCATCATCACTGTCACCACCATGGTCACCAGTACGGGTCATACCATGGTCACCCATCACAAACAATACTGTTTTGTCATCAAGAGTCTCCATTACAGACCTGTATGGCATAACACAAAAAGTAGTATAAGAGTACCTTATATGAATTTCAAATCTATCCAGCCTTTCATTGCATTGAAACAATTTGTATTTTTAGGGGGGCCAACTACTAAAGATTTATTATGTTGAATAAACAACCAAATTTGAAAAAATTATCATCTGGCACTATTAATAACAAAGTTAACTGGTAGAAAAAATGCTTAATTGGATTTGGCAGTGGACATCCATGAAGTGGCTCTTCTCAAAAACTGTCTCTAATTTGAATTGTAACTTGGAGTGCTTGTTTTGTGGAGGGTGGAGAACTGTAATTGGTCTTGAAGTATTTAATCCTTTGTGCAAGTATGATGATAAGCTGAAATCCAAAAGTGACAACAACTTAATTAATCAAATCTTGGGTACAATGGTGGAGAAATGAACCAAAAATTAGACAAATTTTGAATTGTCTAACTGATATTCACATCACAAAAGTTACAACAATGGGGCCCTGAAAATGTGAAATTTGGCAAATTTCCCTCTCTTTACTTTTGCACCATACTATGCATATAAATACATTGTACACTGTATGTTACTCTAAATATCAGATTACAGATATCTGAGATAAAATCACTACACATAGAAAAGCACTGTTCTCCACAATTTTGAGCACATCAGGTAAGGCCACTTTCCAAACTGGCAAATCTGTCTGTTTAATTTTAAAGGATTTGAGGTGGTTGCTTTCATAAGCAATAAATGCTCCCTACCTCAGGACAGAATCCATCTGTGTGAGTTTAGCTGCCATTTCAGGATGATTGGGACCAAATTTGTGCCCACAGTGATCAACTCCGAGAAAGTGACTAATGAGAACATCCCAGTCATTTTCCTTTAATTCTGGAACCAAGTGTTCAATTACACCATTGTCCACAGTATGAAGATCCATGACATTAAATGATGGGAATGGAAAGGACTTATGGAAAGAGTCAGGGAATAGACTACCCCAAGTGTCATCCCCCATGAAAGTTATGTTCTTCTCTAGAGATATCAGCTGTGAGATGATGTTGTCTTCTATGATATTTGAACTGGCAAAATTACTTCCTGCATCCACAAAAGTAGGTAAACTTCCTGTTGACATGAGAGTAAGGATAAGCTCAAAACTCATGACCCTTTTGTTTGAGAAAAGAATCATTAATTCCCAAATTTTTTTTTAAATTACTTTTTTTTGCCAACATATCAAAAGTATCATTTTAAAACAGCAAATAATATAGATAAAGCTGGATGTGCAAGAAGTAAAGAACTGCATAAACATCCTTACTTCACAATTTGACTCTACATGTAATTATTCCCAAGATCTCTATAACAACTCAATCTCACTGTCTGATATACTTTTATTACTATGTTGGTTCTTGGAATTTGATTTCAAATCTAATTTCTCCTTACAATATCACCACTGAATCACAAATTAATGCCAGGAGAATAAAGGAAATGATCACAAACTAAAGGAACCCTTGATTATTAGACAAATTCTCCTTGTCAGCACCTTAGTATATGTACAGAGAACAGTATGGAGAATATGAACACTGATGTTAAGGACTGTAAAGGGTTAAGGACTGTAAAGGGTAACATGTATAGCTATAGAGACACAGTGACCTTAAGGTCAGTTTATTGAACTTCAGGTCAAGAGGTCTGGGTTCAAGTGTTGTGTTCTTGAACAAAACACTTTTCTTTCACAGTGCCTCTCTCCACCCAGGAATATAAATGAATACTGGCAAATTTTTGGGGAAGCATGATGAAATGCTGAGGGACCCATCCAGAGGGGAAGAGTAATACTCCTTGTCCCTTCATGCTACATTAAGAAACTGGAATAAGCCCTGTTTGCAGAAATTGGCTCGAATACAAACTTAAACTTTTGTTCAAAGGATGTGTAATGCTATCCACTGGATAAATCTTTAACTGGTGGATAGCACAGTACATTTTGTTAACACTCATCCGCTGGATAGCTTTTAACCCTTTAACTCCCAAGATCTCATTAGTAATTCTCCTTACTCTCTCCCATACAGTTCTTGTGATGTTAGTTTGGAGAATTTGTTTTTGGATCAACTAATAATCCCCTAATTAATATTATTCTTTATTCTCATCACTTGTCTGCTTGATAATGTATTAATATTCTAAGGAGAAATTCTGTCTTGGTCACTCATGGGTGTTAAAGGGTTAATCTGATGGATAGCATTATCCCCCCTTTGAACAGCTGGACCCAGCAGGTAAGGAGAAATTGCAAATTGGTCACATTCTTTGAAGTTCTTAGTGTGGAAAAGCTGTATACAACATATCTATTGCTTTTTGGAACACTACACGAATCAGGTGTAAAGAATAACTTACCAGTAGTGAGCGCCTTTAATCGCTGCATAGTGGTGGTTGGTGGATCAGCCACAAATTTGAACAGAGCTCCATGTTGAGGAGAGCTCGCTAACACTTCATGGATGACTTTTAATTTATTCTGGTAAGGCAACGCATTGTCATCATCCAGGCTTGAGTTGTACAGTGCAAAATCATAGCGTAGAGCATCAATTATTAGTATCACAGCTTTTTCGTACGTCTTCTTCATCCAACAGCCTTCAGATTTCCGTGCATTCGACAGTTCTTGATTAGACGACAACAGAATGACTTCGGGAGCTTCTGAACAGTCACTCAGGTCATTGATGACCAGCCGATTTAAAAGAAAACCGCGAGTGAAAAGGAATATTCCAACACCATACAGAAATGAAATGAAACAAAACAAAACGAGAAGTTTGAAACCGTAAGCCATGCCGTGACTGTATTGATTCAAGATCGAGAAACACTTCACAACTTGTCCGCCATACTGCTTAGAGCGTGGCTGCTAAGCTCTTTCCCAGTCCCTTCTACTCACTTCCGCTTCGTCTTGCGATAACGAGGCCAGATATTTTAAATATGGCGTCCGAACGAGACGTCGAACCTGACTCTCCCCTCATACCTTCTAATTCAATTATTCCACAAACCATTTTAGAGGAGTTATGCAGGTAGGCTAAAAAAGATGTTATTATCCTGCTTTGATGTCCTGTTGTTACCATCAACGACTTTATTCTTTCTTTCAAAAGCCGTTTCTTAATCAACATACCGGAAGAAGAAAGGAAAGATGTCGTTCGGTTGTGCTTTCAGATCGAGACAGCGCATTGGTTTTACGTCGACTTCTACCGACAGGAGCAACCAGATCTCCCAACTTGTGGTCTTAAGGATTTTACGAGAATAAATATCCTTTTGTTAACTGTTGTTACCACAATTAATGTTATTTTTGAACTTGATATTTGTATTTCTTCCAAGGAGCTTTCGATATCCAGTTTTTTTGGGGGTTATGGGTCATCGCTGCCATTTTCGATTTCGAAACAAGATCTAAACAGTGCTCCACTATTGAATATCCAACAAATATGTCCCACAGGTCTCGCCTGATCATTTGAAAATTCGTATAAACAGTTCGCAGTGGCAGACACTGTCCTCTTAACTGAAAAGAGCCAGATTTAATACAGGTAGTTTGTACTGTTTTATCATAACAAGCTTATTGTGAACTAATTTTCCAACTTGTACCTTAACATGGTTACTTTTTGAACAGTTTCCATTTCTCAATAAAACTGGGGAAAATATTGACAAAATTTTTGAGAACTGGAAGAAGTACAAGTACAGTGTTCCTGTCTATGGAGCAATATTGTTGAATCAAAGCCTGGACAAGGTAACATTTATTTTTGTTAATTGTAAATTATAAAAATTGCCACGGTAACTCACTCTGCCTGAAGTCTTTTCTTGTTTCCTGATGATTTTCTTTTTCATATTCATCATACTTGAGTATCATGATTTTATTTAACAAGTGAACAAAAGTGGCATTCCACACATTACAGTTTACACTTACTATAACACAAGACAAAGAAACAATTTAATCATAATGACTTTAAATAATATGCTACTACCAACCCTGATTTATGTAATAAACTCAGTTGAATAGTTACTTGTAAGAAAACTTTATGGAACAAAAACTTTTTCTTAATGTTAGATGGAGTTAACTTAATTTTAAAATTAAAACTTAAGATTGCTGTGAAGTGCCTGTAGCATCACTAAGTTCACTTTTTTCTTTTTCTCCAAGTGTGTGTTAGTGCAGTCATTCGCGTCAAAAAGTTGGGGTTTTCCTAAAGGAAAGGTTAATAAGGATGAATCAGGATTTGATTGTGCTGTTAGAGAGGTGAGTAAACCTGTCAAGCATGATGTTCATTGGCCATCAGTAATTCATACCAAAGCATTGAGTAATCCATTTCTTTATGATAATCTCTGAACAATGTTTCCACAGGTATTAGAAGAGACTGGATTTGAGATGAGATTTTATGCAGACCCAGACACTTATTTTGAACACAACTTCCAGGATCATCAGGTGCAAAGTCATATGAAAAGCTTTTAGATGTTATTGTAGTAATTGTGACTGTATGCAAGATTAAGCAAGTCAATGCATGCAGTAAAACACACAATGGATTAGTATCTTTCCTCTCTAATGAATTGTAGAAAACTATGTTCTGTAGAACTACAGTCTGCCTACTGTCTCTATCTTACCATTCAACTGTAAGTGCATTAATTAGTCAATCTGTCGGTGATTTATTCAGTTGGGCAGTGAGTCAGCTAGTCATTCAGAAGGCAGACAGATAGTAAGTCAGTGTGTCACTCAGACAAAGTTAGACAATGAGGCATCAAATCAGACAGTTAATCAGACAATCAATTATGTTATCATTTAGTCACACTGTGGCCTCCGTTCAAACTTTACAGATTAGATTGTATGTTGTCCCTGGAGTCCCTGAGAAAACAGTGTTCCAGCCACTCACAAGAGGAGAGATTAAGGTGAAAATATATTAACCGCATTTAAAGTTTTTTACATACCCTGTGTTCAAGACTGACATGCAAGTTTGCAGTTCTATGCAACAGTCTGAGGAAACCTCTGCAATGTGTTCCCAAGTGAATCTTCTTTAAATTATGACTTAACTGTGTTGTGATTTACGCTTACAATGTTTAAGGAGCTCAGTGAATACATGTAAGTCTTTTATTTCCTTTGCTTTAGAAAATACAGTGGTTTTACATAGACAATCTTCCCGCTCACAAGAAAGATACCGTTTGCCGAGAAAACCTGGGACTAAATCCAAGTGCTTTCTACATGGTTATTCCGTTTGTAAAGTAAGGCATGATAAACAATGGATTTTTCCTCCTGACAGTTACTAGTTGAAATTATAACTCAATCAACCCGGGAAAAAAATTGTATTTGTATTCTGTCAAGTTCTCTTGTTTTAAATGTCTTGACTTGGATCCGTTTAAAGTTGATACCAGGAAAAAGAAAGCCAGGAACCCATTTCCTGAAAACAAACCCGGAAGGCAGATTTTTGTTTGCCATGTTTCTTTCATTTTTGAGATAAACATGTCAGGAAAAGAAACAGGATGGACTGGTGTTTGAGCGAAGACCAGCATTGTTATTCCGTGGTATTAGATCTAGGAATATTACATCGGGCCGTAAAGTTATTGGGGCTTCAGGGAAACGGGTCCCTAATCATACTTACCTCCTATCAGTTGTTCTTAGTTTGATTAAAGCGCGAAAGGTGAATCGTGAAGGTCAACACACCCCAGGAGACTTTCCTTTTCCTTTCAGGCTCCCACAGAAATAATGAGCGCTTAATGGCTCTTAAGGACAAGGCTCTCAGTCAATGGAAACGAGCAGAAAAGTAGGCACGCATAAAATGGGTGACAACCCATAAGCCCCTTTCGCTCTATTTTTCACTCTCCTCCATCGACTGAGGGCCTTAAACAGGCTTTCTAATGGGGGTTAGCAATAGTATAATAAACCGTGGTGGGATACACAGTGGAATAAAGGGGTGTTTCGGGAATTTTTAAAGGGAAGATACCTTATTAACACGTGTATTTGCTAGGAAATCCACAGGTGCTAATCTTAAGTATTGTTAATTGAGGATTTCAAATTATTCCCACAGGAACCTACGGAAATGGATATCGGCGCGACTTAAAGAAGCATATAAACCCAATCCTGAGCCGGTTGCTTCGGAAACGTCGAGGAATGCTCAACTTCAGAACCTACTCGCTAAAGAAGAGCAACGCTTAGAGCAAGAACAGAAACGCGCTGCTGTGGAAAGAAGAAGAAAGCAACAACAGGAGAAATTCCAATTGCAACACGATCTAAATCACCCCCTGCGATATCATCACATGCAACAGAGAGGAAGTACACCGAAAGGTATTGAAACGTTGGAACCATTGTATCTCGATTGTCACTCGAGTGTTGCGTCACCTCAATGCACATATCACGCAATGTGTTTCGGAAATCGATTTGCATGACATGCAATTTAGAGGTTATGCGAATTTTTCTTAGTCTGCTAGCCTGTCTTTTCTTGGTCTACCGAGCGCCAACGAAAAAAAGAAAAGGCACTAGTCTCCTAGCGGCCGTTCTTTGAATGTCACGCAACGCTTGGTGGAGTGTTGCGTGATATTCCAAAGAACAGCCTAGAAGGAGACGATACTTAGTCTTGATCAAAATTACTACTATCCAGTCAAAGTATTTCTTATGTACACATGCACAGACTGTTTTTCACTTTGCATCTAGCCCATAACATCCACAGATGAATATTTCATGTGAAGCGTAAAAGTTCCGTAACCTTGAAAACGTTGATGTGTTATGACATCTCGTACTGTTTAAGTTCCTGTTAAGTCCTACTGTCGAGTCCAATGCAAAAGACAATATTTCATTCTCTTCAGATTATCAAGCTTTGCTAGAAGAAAATTTAGCTCACCGTTCTTCTCCAGTTGCGAGAGAAAAGGAGGGTACGCCGGTCTTCAAGATATTACAGCGGCCAACTGACGAGTCATACACTGAGGAACCTTTTAATCCCATACAAAAACTTCTCTCTGGAAGCTTGGGTTTTGGTCCCGTCACAGCACATCAACCCTTTCCTCCTTTGGGCGCTGCCACTCCTGAGAGGGGCGTTTACCCCATACCACCACATGCACGGTGTTATAGGTGTCCACAGAGAACATTTATCTCCTGGGACCCCTCACATGTCATCGCGTTCAAAGCAGCCGGAAACGTCCTCTTCAGAACACAGCTGGGAAGATAAAGAGTTTCAGTTCACATCCCCGGCCTTTTTGAATTTTAAGTTTGACACCAAATCGATTTTAGCCTGTTTACCAACGTAGCTTACAAGAGATTCGTCTCACATCTGACATCTAAATAATTCTGTTCGTGCTGAAGAATGATGCTTTGCCAGGATTTGTATTTTAGTCTTGCCTTAACGTTATGCAGATATGCATCTTTTTTTTTTAGTTTTTAATTTTATCAACGTTCAGGAAATCTTAGAGTTATTTCGAAGTGCCCCATATTCAACGTCAACAGCAGCACACCGATCTAAGATCATAGATCAGTCGTGGGGGAGGGGGGGGCTCTATTTTTAGAACAATTCTTAACAAGTGGCGGGAATCCATTTGTAAAGGAGAACGAACAACAAGTAATAAACAATAAATGGAACGAACGGGTCGGAGAAAGATAATTTTTCATCGCTTTCGTCTTTTATGTTTTATGTTGCTACATCCACTCAAAACAACAATTAGAATTATATATTTGTGACTAAGTTTCTTTTTTTAATCATTTGAGATAAATATTCTCAATAAATTTATGGAAGGACGGGAATAAAGGGGATTTTAACGATTGATGCATGAATCCAGCTCAGAAAAACTATCCCTGCAACAAACTAGAACAGTCCTCATTTG